GCTCTGAGCCAGGGGGCGGGGGCGAGCCGGTTGCTGAAAGTCGAACCCTCGGCGGGAGCGCCGCCGCACTTCCCAAGCGGCGCACTGTAGCAGTGCACCACCGGGCCGGCCCTACTTTTAGGTTTTTGTTTTTTGTTTTTTGTTTTCTCTTAGCTGGCAGGTACAGGGATCAAACCCTGGACCTTGATGTTATGAGCACCACACTCTAACCACCTGTACTAATTAGCCAGGCTTCTAATTGTTATTTTAAATATCTTCCTAGTAACTCCTCTTCCATCACACAGCACCTGATGCCATCAGCAGCGAACCTAATAAGTCACAGCCCATTGCAGTGGCCTTCAAAGGATGATTATTTTGTGATTCAGACTTTGATCTGAGTAATATCACTTGAAATAAGTGGATTTTAGCTTGGAATCTTTCTTTTTTTTGGTGGTGTGCCAGTATTGGAAATATTTTTGTTGTAGGTTATATTTATTTTAACAAAATTTCTGCAGTAGACATAGCAAAGTTCCTTGCTAACAATTGTTCTTCATGATCTGATTGTGGGAAGAGAGTGAATTGACCTTCTAGGAGCAAATATAATATTTCCACCCCGTAGAAGTGTATCCTAGGCCTAAAGGTAGCTGTGATGACTTCTTGTGTTTTTTTTTTTTTTTTTTTTTTTTAAAGATGACTGGTAAGGGGATCTTAATTTTTGAGTTGGTGTTGTCAACACCACGCTCACCCAGTGAGCTAACCGGCCATCCCTACATGGGATCCAAACCCATGGCCTTGGTGTTATCAGCACTGCACTCTCCTGAGTGAGCCACAGGCTGGCCTGACTTCTTTTGTTTTTAATGCTTGAAAAGAGTGTATTGATTTGTTCAACAGATAACTGTGGCACGTGACAGGTGTAACTGTGCATAGGCACGTGAGGGCATACAGAGGAACCTAGCCAGGGAACTGAAACATTAAAAGCTAAATAACAATATAAAGTAGTAGCTCTCAACTGGAGGTGATTTTGCCCCAGGATTCATTGGCCATGTCTGGAGACAATATCGTTTGTCACAGCCAGAGGGGTGCTGCTGGCATCCAGTAGGCAGAGGCCAGGGATGCTGCTGAACATCCCAAACTGCACAGGGTAAGCTTCCGTATTTGTGCATAATTTATAAAGAAATAAAATTTATTGCTTACAGTTTCAGAGGCTGTGAAGTCCGAAGTCCAGGGGACACATCTGGTGAGGGCCTTCTTGTTCTGGGTGTGTGGTGACTCTTCACAGCAGTGCAGAGTGGCACATGGGGAATGATTTGAGCAAGAGAGACAGGGCTAAGCTTCTCACGTCTCACTCACTCTCCTTGTAAAGCCATCAGAACCACGCCCATCATTCCATGAACAGATCAATCTATCCTCAAGGGTACAGTCCTCACAATCCAACCACCTCACAATCCAATCACCCACCTCTCAATGACCATAATGGGATTTCCTACCCTGTTAACACTGTCACAGTGGGGACTAAGTTTCTAATACATGAAACTTNTGACTTCGTTTTTAATGCTTGAAAAGAGTGTATTGATTTGTTCAACAGATAACTGTGGCACATGACAGGTGTAACTGTGCATAGGCACGTGAGGGCATACAGAGGAACCTAGCCAGGGAACTGAAACATTAAAAGCTAAATAACAATATAAAGTAGTAGCTCTCAACTGGAGGTGATTTTGCCCCAGGATTCATTGGCCATGTCTGGAGACAATATCGTTTGTCACAGCCAGAGGGGTGCTGCTGGCATCCAGTAGGCAGAGGCCAGGGATGCTGCTGAACATCCCAAACTGCACAGGGTAAGCTTCCGTATTTGTCCATAATTTATAAAGAAATAAAATTTATTGCTTACAGTTTCAGAGGCTGTGAAGTCCGAAGTCCAGGGGACACATCTGGTGAGGGCCTTCTTGTTCTGGGTGTGTGGTGACTCTTCACAGCAGTGCAGAGTTCTTACAGTTTCAGAGGCTGTGAAGTCCGAAGTCCAGGGAACACATCTGGTGAGGGCCTTCTTGTTCTGGGTGTGTGGTGACTCTTCACAGCAGTGCAGAGTGGCACATGGGGAATGATTTGAGCAAGAGAGACAGGGCTAAGCTTCTCACGTCTCACTCACTCTCCTTGTAAAGCCATCAGAACCACGCCCATCATTCCATGAACAGATCAATCTATCCTCAAGGGTACAGTCCTCACAATCCAACCACCTCACAATCCAATCACCCACCTCTCAATGACCATAATGGGATTTCCTACCCTGTTAACACTGTCACAGTGGGGACTAAGTTTCTAATACATGAAACTTTGGGAGATGCATTCAATCTACATCACCCTCTATGACAAAGAATTATCCAGCTCAAAATGTCAATAGTGCTGAGGTTGAGAAATCCTGTCAGAATTACAGAATTACATGCTCATTGGGCAATGCCAACTATGAGTGTTATAGAAGTTGAAAGAAGAGACCCAGCACTGTCAGCTGGAGTAATCAGGGAAGGTTTCATGGAAGAGAGAGGACTATAGCGTCTATGAAGGAGAGTTAGGATTTAGGTAGGGAGGGGCCTGGAGAAGACATTCCAAGGAGGGAATATGGGCAAAGTGCTGAGGTGGGGGCAGCTAGGAGGTTTCTGGGAGCAGTGAGCCACCCACCCTGGAAGGGATGTAATTTCCACTCCACGGCTTGTAGGTTGGGTAAGGCAAGTTTGTTATCTCCATGTGACAGAGGAGGAAACCAAAGCACAGGATACTTGAGAGGGGATCCTGTGATGGTCTCTAAGCTGGGACTAGAACCAAGTCCACCTGTTACCCAGGCCCTGGCCTTTCCCCAGTGGTATCTACCTCACCTGAGCCATGATCCCATCTTGCGTTGATATCAGCCACCAGGAGCCAAATGCAACTTTCTGGGGCATCACTCAAACAAAAGCTTCCTTCTGCCCCAAATCCAGCTGTCCTACTCTGGAACATCACTGTCTCTTTATTTGAAAGGGAACCCTGTAGAAACCCAAACACACACACACTCACATACTTCTCAAGCAAGAAATGGAGAGAGGCTGGTAGAAAATGGAATCCCATTCTAAAGAGCACAGACACATTTAGTACAGAATATCAGTTAAGAAGAGAACCTGCTGGTGCAACAGAAAAGAACAGCTTGTGGCCAGCCAAGGCATGGTCACGGTCACTAGGAATGAAGCGGCCAGCAAGTGGGAGGGTGGGGATAGGAGGAGGCTGGAACAGACAGGTGTTCCGTACTGCTGGAGTGGGGGAAGTGGGGACAGAGTCTCAGCTGGCAGAGTGAGGGGCAAAGCGAGAGCTGCCCACTCAGATGCTCTGCGGAGACCCAAGGACAGATGCTGAGGCCTGTCTGAGAAGCAGGGAGCAGTCAAGGTCCCCAGGGAGTCATTACACAACTTCAGTCCCTGCGAGTCTGTTCTGAATGACTGGGGTCTCTCCTCTCCATTCTACATTTGGGGACCCTGAGGTAGAGCGTCCTGGAGCATGGTCAGAAAAGGGTAAAAAGGAGAATGAAAGGCAGAAAAGAAAGAATAACTGGCAGTGGTTTAGGCCGGAGGAGACAATGTGGGGATGGGATGTGGGGAAAGTAGAAGTGGATTTTCAGGAGCTGCCCCAGACTCCTTAGAAGCCAGAGTCATCTGCCTGTGCCAGACACTGAGGAGGTGGGTGAGGCCAGGTGAGAAGAGCAGCGGGCAGAGGTTAGAGGTCCCTGCAGGAGGCACAGCCCCAAACCTGGCTCTCTCTCCCATCGCTGCCACCCACCCAGGCCCAAGTGATGGGGACCCAGGCACCAGCCCCATGACTCCTCTCCCTCCCAGTCCTCATCCCAGCCCTGGCCTCCAGGCCTTAGGCAGGCTGGTAGCTTTGCCGGGCAATGTTTTCATGCAGTGCTGTGCATGCTTCAGTTTCTCCAATGAGGATAACGTTGGGCCATAAAGAGCTGGTGCAGTGCTGGGGTCACTGGCCCAGGAGACATCTAGGCCAAGACCACAGCAGTTCCTTCCATCTGGGGCCACAGCATCCACTGCACTGGACCCCCACTGAGACACCCTTCCCCTCACCCCCAGGGACACGGGAGCACCAAGTGTCTCTGAGGACAGTCTGCCCACCATCCCTTGATTTTATTTCCAAGCATTTCCCACTCTGGCCTCATAAGAAAAATGTAAGCAATGTGCAAGCTACACTTTTCTCTTGCCTGGGAGGCCCTGACATTATTGAAGCCACAACAAACCCCAGCCTTCACCCCAACCCACTCCTGCCTCTTGCCCAGGGCTTGAAAGCGGAGGCCCCCACCCTAGCCCCTGCATTGCCCGGCCTGCGGAATTGCTGCTGTGGGCACTTTTCAGTCTGCAGAGTGCCAGGAGAGCAGAAGGCGGAAGATGTTCCGGTCCAAGTTTGGGATGGCAATTGGGTCCCAAGTTCAGACCCCGCCCCCCTCCTCCCTGTCTGCTAAACCCCTGCCTCCCCCTGCCCTCTGCCAGGTCTCAGGTGGCATACAGGCTGCTGGGTTTTATAGAACAGAGGGCAGGGGGCAGTGGAGGCCCGGATGTTGGGAGGGAGGGAAAGGGTATGGTCCCACTCACAGGAGAGGTGGTCCCAGGCTCTCCCCCGGCCTCCATCCTGCCCCAGGCCTTGCCTCCTACTTGCCTAATTGGTTACATCTGGGAGTGGCACCTCCCACCTTGCTCCCAGGCCTTGAGGCCCCATTTCCACTCCTCCCCCCAAGCAATCCAGCTCAGACCCCGGCTAGGTCCTCGGGGTGGTGTGAGCGGGCACTGAGGGTCTCTTGCCTGGAGACTTGGGTCTTGTGGCTGATCCACAGGGCCTGGTGCAGGCTCAAGCCCCGCCTGGTTACCTGCAGCCTGAAGCTGTATCCACAGCACAGCCTTCCCCTCCCTTAAATGTGTCTGCAGCTCAGCCCAGAGCCACCTGGGAGTACCAGGAAGGGCAGCCCTGGAGTTAGGGGGGAGGCACAGAGGTGGGCCTGATGAGCCCAGGCCGGATGAGATCTTGGTGGGATTACAAGATGCACCCTTTGCGGCTCCTTGTCACCCTGCATTATAGGCCTATGTGGTCTTCACTCTATCCCCCCATCTTCCACCCCTGACACAATCCCACCGCACCTTCCAGGCAGGCCTGAGAGAGAGAGAGCCCTAAGTCTCCCTCACCCTATGTGCACTGAAACAAGAGAAAAGACATCATATCTGCAATCTTGAAATGCTGTGAGATACTACCCTGGTGAGTTTCCTGTCAACAAAATCAAGAAGAATTCTCCCAAAACTGAAAGCAGATTTAGGAAGTGGTTTGGAAAGCTTCCATCACCACCAACCTGCAACAGAGTGGGTTTCTGTGGCCCCGAGAATCCTGAGCCAGCTGGAGAAGTGTGGAGTGGGGGGTCTGTGACAAACCCACTGAGTGCACCAGCTCTGCTGCTGTCTCCCTGGGTGCTGGCATGGGGACAAGGCCTGGCACCTGTCCTGGTCTTGGGGGACAGGGGCTATGAACAGCAGCTCCGTCCATGGGCCCTTCTGCATGGGTGTGTCAGCTTCCCCTGCCCTGGCCCTGTCTCTTCTGGCCTCGTCTTCCTGGTGGTTTATCACCCAGTTTTCTGAAGACTGATTGTCACCATGATGGAATATATTAAACAGTAGCTGAGATAACAAATCAAGTTACTTGAAAGTGCTTTGAAAAGTGTCAGGAATTACACAAACAGAAGTTATTGTTCTTAGTGTTTCCATAAATCAAGGGGTGCCGCAGAGTGTCCTGCTAGGTGAGAGGGGTCTGAGAGTTCATCTAGTCCAACTCTTTCATCTTGCAAGTGAAAACACGAGGCTTGGTGAAGGGAATTGGTTCTCCTTGGTTCTCTCCTGGTGATGAAGCCAGAACCGTAACATCCAGTATGAAATCAGTGCTACGTTGCTTACCACATTAAATCCATTCCACACAGCCACCTTATGAAGCAGGAATATTAATCTGATAGAGGAGGATACTGTAGCTAAAAAAATTTTTTTTAATTTACTTTTAAAAATTGAGATATAATTCACATACCATAAAATCAACATTTTAAAGTGTATAATTCAGTGGTTTTTAGTATATTCACAAGGTTATACAACCATCACCAAATTCCAGAACATTTTCTTTTTTTAAAAAAAAATAACCGAACCCGTGGCCTTGGTGTTATCAGCACCACACTCTCCCAAGTGAGCCACGGGCCGGCC